AAAAGCGTGTTTCAGACAAGTATAAGTTCCATTACCAGCAACTTAAATGATTAATTTGTTTACACGCATTTAATGTCAGCTTAAACCTACATTAAAGTTTAGCCTTAAGATATAAGCGGCGGTTTAAGGCAGACTTAAACCGGTGTATAAGTTGCTTAAACCTCAGCTTAAACTTAGTAAACCTCAATTTAAGACGGGATTAATCCACGTTTAAGACAACATAAATAAGCTTTTTCGGTCTACTATAGCTAAACAGTACTTAAAAGTGTGTTTCAGACGAGTTTAAGTTCCAGTAAATGTAACGTAACGAATACTTTTGTTTACAGGCATTTAATGTCAGCTTAAACCTACATTCAAGTTTAGCCTTAAGATAGTATAAGCTCGGTTTAAGGCAGAGTTAAACCGGTGTATAAGTTGCTTAAACCTCAAGTTAAACTTAGTAAACTTCAATTTAAACTTCAATTTAAAGCGGGATTAATATTCCGCCATTCCGCTGATCCACCGTTCATCCGTTCCATCATGCTGTCGAATAACTCAAGGATCGTATTTCGCAGCTAGTAACTTGCTCGCTTCGCGGCCCTTTTTGGCATAAGTCGCCGATTCAAATTGTAAAATGCTCCTTTATCAAAGTAAAAATTTCCTCAAAGCCTACATGATGTGCAGATCACATCTATTGAGATATTTCCGCGAGAAACAATCTTGATTTCAATTATGCGTCGGTGGATGCCACTGTGAAATTATTTTTGGATGTTTATTGTCTTTCGCAGTGTCACGTACGGCAAGAACTAAAAAAGATGATCGGATCAATTAAATTACTTGATTTAGCGGTAAAATACGCTCTCTTCAAAAAAAAAATTTCCCCGAGTCTTATGATTCACCGATCACACTAATTAAGGTATTTCTGCCAGGAAATTTCTGTTTTAAATCGCGCGCAATCTTGAAATGATTGCGGGATGTTTCCGGCTGCTATATTCATAGTGTCACGGCAAGAACTGAAAACATAGTGTGCTAGTAGCTATTATCCAGAAATCACCAAGGGAGAGAACTCGATTGTCGAGTGCGAACGTCGAACTACAGTGCACAGTGAAAGCTCGATTTAACGAACCTCTATATAATGCGGTCCTCGGTAGCCCAAGTAGCCCAAGCCTACTGGGTGTGATTTTGGGTCTAAAGTACCTAACATATTAAGGTCGAATTGTAAGCGTAAGCGTAGGCCGTTAAAAACGACATCACCTCGTTTTAGCTCTAACTGTTCACGGTAAGAAACTTTTGCTTGTGTAAATAGAAATTGCACTCTGTTCAAAGAATATTGCAGAGTGTTGGAGTTTTTGCTTGAAATAAACCTTATTCTGAATTCAAAAATGAACAGTTTAATCTTTTTAATATCATTATGAAGTCACTAATTTTTTTTTTTTTTTGGCCTAACTCGTGGCGTGCAATCCAACCTTAACTTTTATTTATGAAAAGACTTTACGGAAAGCTAGCATATTTGGCTCTAGTTACTGTAGAAACTGTTTTTGTTGAATTGGGAAATGTTGACAATTAATATGCTTTTCAGGAAAATTATTCTTCTTGCCCTTTTACAATGTAATTCATTCCGCTTTGAAATTCACCTGTTCCCAAAAATATTGTTTCCTTACATCGAGCCGATACAGACAACTTGAAAGATGTAAACACTTTAGTCCAATCCGTCAATAAACTGTCTATACATCTCTTGAAAAAGCTTATATCATAACAATATTTAGCTCTCTGCAATTAATTTAAACCTTCGGCGTCGTTTGCGTTCAATCAGATATAGTAACTAGATATGGCGTACAAAGTTCGCCCGACTCCAAGTTTTTCGTATGCGTTGTTCAAGAACTAATTGAAACGCATGTATACATGTTTGCTTCTTTATGTGTTTGTTACTGAGCGGGTTGATTTTTATTTTGATAACGACCAGTGATTCTGGTAGCTTTATTTCAAGTTTTTGCCGGATTCTGAACCATTAATAGAGAGATTAAGCACCACGTATTTTTTTCCCCGCGAAAGGCAGAGGGTCGCGTGACCTGACATTTCCCCCGTTTGCCGTTTGCCGGCCGCCGTTTCTGCTCGAGGAAGACAATTTTTCCCGTTTGTAGGGAATGCGAAAACGTGAGGATTTGCAGCCCATTTTTACCGACTACTTCTACAATTTGATCGCTTGCATTTTAAAGCTAAGCTTCGTTTATCATCTTACTTGTATATGAACTGCTTGTAAAGCTAATAGAGTTCAAAGCTAAACTAAGCGTAAGCGTAGGCCGTTAAAAAGGGAAAAATTATAAAAAAAAATAAGAAAAAGTTAAAAAGGATTATATAAGCGAGAAATAAAACGTGTGAAGTCTTATTACCTTTTTTCCTTAGCCGCTTTGTTGCCAACGGTCGTTATAACGCTGTTTTGGCGACTTTCTTTGGGTTGTAACGCGTGCGGTGTTACCAGTCAACTGTACAGAAGGAAAAATTATAAAAAAAAAAAAATAAAGAAAAAACTAAAAAGGATAAAAAATACGAGGAATATATCGCATGAAGACTTCTTACCTTTTTTCCGTAGCTGCTTTGTCATTTACGATCCTTTTAACGTTGTTTTGGCGACTTTCTTTGTAATGCGTGGGGTGTTACCAATCAACTGTATATAAAAAGACTCAAGCTTGTGTTTTTTTTTAATGTACAGTTCAGTGACTGGTGACACCGCACGTGTTATAAAGAAAGTCGCCAAAACAGCGTTAACACGACCTTTGGCAACAAAGCGGCTACGGAAAAATGGTAGGGAGACTTCACACGTTTTATTCCTCGCTTTTATTATTCTTTTGAATTTTTTTTTATTATTATATTTCTATGTAACGGCTTACGCTTACGCTTGAAATTCCATCTTAATATGTTAGGTATTTCCGTTAATGGACTTTAGACCCCAAAAAGCACACACAGTAGAATTGGGCCGCCTGTGGTATAACGAACGATACTTCTGTTCAGCCCGCTTAAGTTACGGTAAAATGTATGCCACGGAACCTTGATATAACGAACCCTCGATATAACAGACCAATTTACCCAGTCCCTTAGCACTTCGTTAAGTTGAGGTTCCACTGTACTAAGATACTCTAAAAAAGAAAAAAATAAGTGGCACTGGGAAACATCGGGTCAAAGTTGGGTCGAGATCGCAATTCTAGTGTTACATATCGCGATCAGAGGCACAAACATTGTACCGTTGCACATATGTCCTCTTGTTGTAGATATGTCCTCTGACGTAAGGTGATACAATGGCCAATCACATCCTGTGATCTAAAGAGCGACACGCAGCTTGGGACTGGTTAAGAGACTCCGTTGCAGTTATGTCTTCAAGCAAAATTGCTCATTTAAGGGGGTCGGGATAAGTAGAAAAGTTGACACGTATGAGCAACTTCCAACTGATCTCAGGAAAACATGCTGTTCGCAATCTCTCACATTACTTTCCTTGAAGTTCTATCGCTCCTTCGTTAACGCCGTGTGATCGCATCGTTCTTCTAATCTAAACGTCCTAAACGTGGAAGAGCAACTTGCTACGTGAATAACAAAGCGACTTTTGACCAAAAGATGCGTTATTGTTCACGCTTTATTTGCAGTCTTGCTTTATTTACAGACGTCATTGTTCGACTTGCGACTTCAATGACAATATTTTATCCATATCACAATTGTTTTATTTTCTTTACTAGTTGAAGATCATAGATTATGGTTCGTCGGCATAAAATTATATATTTTTGACGCTTCGCTGATCTGCCGGAGGTGAGATCAACCATCGATTAACTATGGATCGACTGAGAGGTCAGTGTTGTGATAATCTGTCTGCGTCACGAAGTCTTCCTTCAAACACAGAAGTTTGGCTTTCAGTTGTTTATTTCGAATATCGTAGGTTTTTGTTGTATGGCAAAAATCTGAAGTAGTAGATTGTGAAAATTTGAAATAGTCATGGTTGTGATGTGATTTTATTACGGTTCCGCTTATTTTAGCAGTACTTTCTTTAGTTCTGTCTCTAAATTTCATTACGGTCCGGTTCCAATTCCGCTAATTTAAGCTGCTCTTTTTTTAGTACTGTTTCTAAATTATTGTCGGATTCGTTGCACTTTTGGGTGGATTTGTCATAATTTACCCCGTTTACGACAAATCCACATAATGATCAAATCAAAAATCGGGTAAAGATGGCTATGGCAAGTCATTAGGATATATTCCACCTTAAGGACCTTAAGATTTAACGTTTTGTAATTTATTCACCGCTTCATTATATATATGCTCGATTTTATTATTTTAGTTTACTTGATAATGACGTTCTGGAAACGTCGAAACGTCGTGTCATGCTTTATAATATTTTATCGCAGTTTTTCATTGTCAAATGTTTTACCAAATCTTTACTTATTCGAATTTTTTTATTATTATTATTATTATTATTATTATTTTCTTTGTAACGGCTTACGCTTAAAATTCCATCTTAATATGTTAGGTATTGCCGTTAATGGACTTTAGACCCCAAAAAGCACACACAGTACAATAGGCTTTTTGCAGCTAGAGGTCACGTACTTGGATACTGCATAGCAACACAAAACTGGAGAGCAAGCGCTCCAGAAAACAAACTCTGTAAGAGGTCAAGCATATCTGGCTTTAGACAATAGTTTTCTGTTCATTACACTCAATCCTTTTGCAATATTTACAAAAACTGTAAGATATTTACTAAATCTCTCGTTTTGACTCGATTTTTGGATGGAAAGCACCACATCTTTCTCGAAATCGTGAAAAAACTGTCTCCGACAATCCGCTCGACGGCTAAGAAACATGGCAGCTTCGCAAGGTATGTACTTCAAAAAATATACTTTTTTCTGCTTTTTTTTAGTTATTGGAATTATAAAGTCTATGAAAATAAAATATCATATCGAAAATAGCAACCAAGTGGAATTTTACCGCATTTTACGCCCGATTTCTTACGATATTATGAGAGTAACTATGCGTTTGCTGCACAAATGGCATATTGTTATGCTTCCGGTGAAAGAGTTGGTAGACCAGGTTCAAGAAATATGCTTCTTGTAGATGAGTTGTTTATGTTTTGTGTGCAACTCAAGCTTGGTTTATTTGAGCAGGACTTAGCAAATAGGTTTCAGATACACAGATCACCAGTTTGCAGAAAAGTGATCACAGAGACTAACTTTTTTCTTGGGAGTCAAGTGATCTGGCCATCAAGGGAAGATGTCAATAGCTATATGCCAGAAGGTTTCAAAAGGTTTTATGCAAGCATGCGTGTTATATTAGATTGTACTGAGATTTTTGTGCAAACACCTACCTCACTGCTACTTCAGTCACAGCTTCATTCTACTTATAAAAGTAATACTACACTAAAAGGCTTAATAGGTAGTACCCCTTATGGAACTATTAGTTTTGTTTCTAGCCTCTACACTGGAGGGATAAGTGATAAGGGAATCACAAGGTGCAGTGGAATTCTAGATTTGTTAGAGCCTGGGGACTCGGTCATGGCCGAAAAAGGGTTTGACATTGAAGATTTGCTGAGGGAGAAGGGAGTGGAGCTAAATATCCCTCAGTTTCTAGAAAGTCTGGAACAAATCTCTGCCCAAGATGTTCAGAAAACAAAGACAATAGCATGTTTGAGAATACATGTTGAAAGAGCAATGAGGAGGGTCAAAGGATACCACTTTTTTGGTTCTGATGTGCAATTGACTACATTGGGTTCAGTCAATCAGTCATGGACTATAGCCTGCCTTCTTACAAATTTCCAGAGCCCGCTAATCTTATCTAATAGTAACAATGAGCCATAGTGAAGTTATTGTGTTATTTATATTTTATTAGGTTTGTTTATACTTTACCTAAACAAAAAAAATAACTGATGGTCATTGAACTTAGTGGAGTGCAACTTGATCTGATATCAAACACAAGTGAACAAAATCACACGATGGCGCAGTAGGAGTGTGATAGGAAATCAAAAGTTTGATATCAGACCGAAATTGTACGACACTGAACATTTTCTGGATTTATGTAAATGAAGCTCCACTTTGTTCACTTTAAAGAGTAGTACCAATGTCAAACAGGAAATAAAATTTGGAAAATATTTCATTTTGTGTGCATTATTTCCTCTAATCTGATTGGCAAACTGTGTAAAATCCTGCAACATGATTGGTCGTCTAAATGTAGTGTGGAATTTTGTTTTGCTAACAAAAAGATGCGATTCAGACTGAAAATAGTGGGATTCGTGCTTGAATCATACAATTTGAAC